ATCTGGCTCACACTGTGGAGTTCCCGCTCGCGAGGACTCACAGGTTTACATTGGAATATTTATCCCCGATGCCTCGATCAAAATGTCCAAGATTTAGATGTAGGAAAACTGGAACTTTTTCGTAGATGTTTGAATGTGAAATATGCACAACGTTTACAAAACTTTACAAACGCATCGCGCTCACGGAAGTCCGCCATGTTTGTTTTCCACAAACCAGTACTTAGTCTTCCTCGGCCAAATTTCTTAACTGGGGCGATCATAGAAACTCGGTTCCAGGCCTCGCTGCTTGCCCCCCTGGATCAACCGCTTTTATGTGTTTCTTTTGCGTTCGCAAGTTATCGCGTTATTTGTTTCAATATGTGGTAAAATCCATTAGAATATGACAAAAAACAAAACGTAACTTACACCAAAACAGAGTTTCTTACTAGCTCCAGACAAATCCGACTGTTCGAGGCTGAAACCTTACAAACAATAAGAACAAAATACAATCAAATGACGAAGGCTATAAATAAATATAACAAGGAGTAAAAAACTCGTAATCTCGAACAAAACGTCTTTCGCGTAAAGAAGTTCAATTTCGTGCCATAAGCAACGCTACACTGATGACCCTCTAGCCGGAAACTCACAGTGTGTAAGTGTCGTAATATAACTTTAGCATTTCGTTCTCAAATTGGTAAACCACCCAACGTTCAGAACCAACATTAAAGTAAAGGTACAGCAAAGACAATCCAGTAATTATTTGCTCGAGTTGAAAATAGTATATGGCATTTTCAAAAATGGAATATTTTTTCAATTTTATCCACAGGAGGCTGTAGTCCTCATAGCAGGAGGAAGCTCAATTTTTTTAAATCTCGATATTCAGAAAACGTCTAGCTTCTGTAAAGCATTCAACGCCTTCTGGTTACTTCAATTGTTTCCGTTTTTACAGGAAATAAAATAGTTAATATAAAGAATGGATATATGAGCATGGAATAGTTTCAACTCAGTTGGACGTAGCCCGTGCGTGGGTTCTATAATAACATGATATAATGTTACGTCTGGTTCGATTCATTCGCCGACCGTGTTCATCAATTTACAAATTTAGCAAGCCTCTATAGGGGCTAAACTGAAGTGAGGGCAACACTGCCAAAGAATCTTAAGCTTGTTTCGAAAGCAACTTCGTCCTAATTAATCGCAAGCGTGTCAAATTCACATTTTACCTTTGTCGCAGTGTAACAGCCAAAGAAGGATCACAGACCTTTGCTAGTTGTGGGGTAAATTGGACTACCTTATTTGCTGTCAGAAGAAAACAGTATGTAAATATTGAAAAATATTTCGTTTATAACACTGCAGCTGCTAGCGCGGAAGACCTTTCCGAGACATTTGTAAGGCACTCAGCAAAACAAACTCCACAAACAGCCACCCACCCCTTCATTACAGGTTTCGTTTTAAACGGATAGAGAGAAAAGGATTACAGCAAAAACCGTTGTTATTTCTCAAAGCTTCACGCTTAATATTATGGTGTTGATGTTATCATCAAGTAGCATCAGCCGTCTGTTCTGAGAAGTGAGGGTGATTATTAATTTTTTTCCACACAAATTGAAAGCACCAACCAGAGGATCATTTACTTAATTCAGCTGTCGCGTTTTCTAATAACAACAATAAAAAGTCGCAATTACTTCTTGTTATTACTGCATGTATCTTGGAACCTTCCCAAGGAAATTTAATTTCATTTGTTGCTTGGTGGAATTTCTACCGAGATTGATGAATAATACAAACAGGGAAGGAAATCGCTAAAACTGAAACTGAAAATTCAAATTAGATTATCACCCAGGAAGCAGATTGTCAATTTTCATTTGACACATATAAGGAACGAAGGCAGGTAATTACAGTACAACTCAATTCTCGATTACAACGTAAATTCTCCAGACGAAACCTACAGAAATCCCTGAAAAAAGGTGGAGAGAGTTTAAATGCCAACCTTGGAAGTAAAAGCGTCCTCTTTCATTCTGAGACAGTGCGTAAACAAAGTGTCTAAAACAAGAAGAAAAACACATATTAATAAACATCAACAGTGAAAAGCTTAGTTTCAGCACTGAAGGTTCAATTAGCATTTTGCTGCTTTTATTAAGAACTAATAATCTTGTTGAGTGCAATTAAACTGATTCAAAGAACTAAGAACCTTCTGAAGGGGTGCTTTCAGTTTTTAAACTCTTTTTAACAAAGTGATCAGAATCATAATTACTTTGTTCGCGACAAATACCCAACAAAAATTTGGAGCTTTCGATGTAGGCTGTCAGTATGCAAATATTGAAAAGTATTTATTGTATTTATTGTTTCAATTTTAATTAAGAAAAAATAGCACAAACTAAAGACAAAGGAGACCTTCATATAAATACTATACAATATTAGAAAATACGCACGCTGATTGGTTAAAAATCGTGTTTCTATATAACTCGAAAGAAACACAGAACTAGCACGAGCTATTGGCGTTATGATGCCACGAGCAAAGAGAATGCACATTTTGATGATCAAAGTAAAAAAGAAGTTGTTTTTTTCGTCGCGGAAGTTTCTAAAAGAAATAGAAAACATGTTCTATCGAGTTACAGAAACACTCACGGAAGTTTGAGAAGCTCGAAAAAGCTGTGGAAACACTCGCTCGAGATTTCTATCGCGTGATATGCGCCCTCGTCAACTATCACGCATAGAAATCGAGAGCGAATAATCCAATTATTTTAGTATGAGTTCAAAACTTTATCTAAATCCTCTTCAAAGACACCTCGAAAACGCCAAGAAGTGCCGTTATTTTGTTAACAAGGGTCCACTGCTACGCTACTCACTATCTATCACAAAATAGATAGTGAGTAGCGTAGCCAATCAGAGAACGACATTCGTGATAGAACGCTAATAGATTTATACTAAAACTCGAGAGAAACATGGTACACGTTTTTCATTTCTTAGATATAACTTTTAGGCAATGGTTTTTTCGCAAGCCCAGTTGTAACTTAACATAACATAAACCAAGAGAGGATGAAACTGCGTGGTAACTTTATCCACGGAAGAATTTTTTGAGAGACACTTAGCGCCAGCGTTTTCATGTTAACGGCAAACCGCAAACGACAGTTTCAGGTTCGGCGTTTGGCGTTAGACGTTTGTGACCTTTATCGGTTTGGCTAAAAATCGGTTTTTGAAAACATGGAAGAATCATTTCACTTGAAGAGGTCGTCGTATTGAATTTCCAGACAACAGCAGTGTTTGAGTTTCAAATGGCGACAAAAAGATTTGTTTTCACTCATTGGCTGAAAATTTAATCTAAACTTGTACTAAAAAGACTAGTTTACTTATTTTCTTACTGAGCACGTGGCATTAAAAAAAAGTCAGGAGTAAAAACGTTCAGGTAAATCACTTACGTGAAAACCTACTTCTCGACGTTGAAAACCCGCGTTGAGAACTCCAAACGTGACCGCAGCGCTTGGTCACGCGACTTTTAGCGGTTTGCCGTTTGAGGTTTCCACTGAAAACCGTGGTGCTAAATGTCACTATTATCTAAAAATATCTTGACAGGGATTACTGTGAGAATAAGGCTATAAGTGGGATTATTTCTCTTACCCTTCATCCTCTCTTGAATGAAGTCATGGACGAACGAGCATTATCAAAAGTTAAAGGATTGGATCATGTTCGTTTTAACCCGCAATTTACGTCTTAAGAATTTTTAATTAAACAGGTGTAAATAAGTTTCCATTATAATATGCTTTCCAAATAAAAACTCAAGTGTGATAAAATTGCCCTGATTCCTACTTTAGCAACGGCAATCAAATTTCTTGGAAAACTCAACGACAGAACGAAGGATCTCTTAAAAACGTCCTGAGAAACGTTTTGTTGACATGTAGCGTGCGTTATCGCTAATGACAGCAACCACTGCTGTGCAAACTAGGAAACGTGACCATGAGAAGATGACTAACAAAACTAAATTGAATGTCATTATCAGTTTACAAAGCTAACCTACTATCTCGGAACTTGTACTTGAGTAATGGCAAACCATTTTTCATTTTTCACATTCACAAACTAGTCGTCGATCAGTTGGTGCGTGTTCAGCAAACAATATACTAATTTACCTACTCGATATTCATCTTCATCTTTCGATGTTATTAGTTCTAAGAGCTGATGTAATCATTCCAATGACGCTTCAGTTTTTCAATATTAAAACCGGTCTGTTTGCGTGTCTTTTCATATGTCAATAGGAGTTTGATGTTCATCGATTTTCTCAATGCAAATAGCCACCAAAACACTTCCTGTTTTGTTTCCAAGATTTAGAGAAGCGCACAAAAGATGGCGTTATAATGTAACTTTAGGTTTTTCCCTTTGTTCATGTTAGACTGGAATCCTCAAGTCAAATACGAACTGTGCCTTCCTCAATAACTCATCATCTTTTCATCATGTTTTCAAACACAAGTTGAAAGAAACTACAGTTGATCTCTTCGTTGTTAACCATCACAGGCTATCACAGTCTGTCTATCACTGCATTACAATCACCAAAATCACCAAATGTAAGAATCTTGGACGATTCGAACTTTCGCGCCTCGCCGTACAATAGCAGATTCCGCGGCACCAAACACACGTCGCAAAAAGAATGGAGAAATAACTCCGTTTACACCTGAATTTCGTTAATTCAAACACAAAATTTGTAGCCTTATGAGCGATTTGAACCCGGCTATCTCGACTGTCGCGTTCTTGAACATTTCTCTCCTTTGCCTAATGCGGAATCTTACTCTACATACTGTCTTACTTACGACCACGTAATAAATATGACATTTTCCAACGCCATTTTCCTCGCTAACGCCAATTTCTTCCACCCGAAGCATGGCTGATGTACACAAGAAAATTCATATAATTATTTAAAACTTACCAGTAACCTAATGAACCTCGTTGTGGTTAAAAAGAACCCGAAACAGAAGGGGCATTCTCTACAGCCTGCACTTCCTCCTATAGCTTTAAACGTGATATTCCCGAAGTCCCTTGGCGGGAGGTCTAATGATCACAAAATTAATATGACACCTGTCGTTTTCAACGAGATATAGATATGTTTTCCAACCTATTCGTCATCACCAAATTTAACTGGGCGTTTGACAAGCACGAACTTCCTCAATAACTCGTTATCTTTTCATCTGGTTTTCAAAAACAAGTTAAAGAGACGACAATTGATTTGCTAGTTGTTAACCATCACAGACTATCACAATCTATCTACCATCATACTTTAGAACATAGCCCAAAGGAAATACGCGCACTGATCCTACCCCCACGTCACTCCCCCACCCCCACCCCCAAGCAAGGGAAACGGCCATGGAAACCAGGTTGATTTGAAATACTGCTGAGACAATAAACGGCCAGGCGAATGCCTACGCAAACGTTTGCAAGACGTGAACGTTAATTACAAAGACCGCTCTAAATTACGTATATTACCATATGATATTTTATTTCGTCCATGCTATGGTCATATGACCTTCTACATGGCAGCGCATAACGCCAAACAGCTTGCAATTTTTTGGCACTTTTGTTTCTCAGAACTATTCCCTCATTTTCTCGTTACTTCGTTTTATATGAAGGATTAATAGACGCTCGAAACGTCCGTTCTTAAATCTAAAATGGCGGTTAATTTACGTAACGAATAGTCGCCTTTTACAATAACTGTGAAATCTCCCGCACATTCTTTCCTATTTAACAATAATTCACGTTGGGCAGAGTTTTTTTTTATCAATTTCGGTGTTAGTTCAATGATTGCTTAACTGCATAAATCGACTAGATGATAAGGAAGTGACAGTTTGATCTAAAGGAAGCGATTTTAATGAAAGGCGGCAAAATTAATTACGTGGTGTTCATCGGGCAAATTGAACGAAACACGCGAGGAAAGCAAACGAAATACTTGCTTCCTTTCCTCTTCTTATGGCTAACTGCGATGAACAAACTTTTTCATGATCATGTGTTGATTCATAAGCATGCCGCACCTCGTAGATCGACAACTGTCTTGACGCAAACGCTCTCATTCAAGTAAGAAGGCAGACAGAATATAAACACGATAAACCAAATAAACTGACATCTATTTGTAAAGATTTTATTAATTTCGACTCTTTCCACCGCTCTTTGATATCATCAGGGACCTTTAGCAACTCGTAGTTCTCGAGCGACGACAACGGCGGTGTACGAGAGGGTTTGGATCGAGAACGACGTTGTTCCCGCCATATACAAACCTTTAGTAGCTTCCTTCACGTCGCGGCGGCACTAGACGGCTATCGCTGAGCACAGTCTTTCCAGAGTTTTTTTTTGAGCGTTTAATTAAAAATGAGAAAGTTTAAAAATATCCGAGATCTGCTATTGCTATCTCACAATGAGAACACTATTTCTGATGAAGAATTCGTTTTACTTTACGATTGTTTTCAGTCGAAAAATCCAGATTTCAGTTACGAGTCGTATGATATGGGCCAAGCTGACTGCAAGGCGGAATTTCGAATAGAGAGGGCTGATCTCCCCCGACTTGCAGATGTATTACAAATTCCTCCTGTGATCAAATGCAGACAAAGGAGCCTATGTGATGGCCTCGAAGGGCTGTGCCTGCTACTGGGGCGGACAACCTATCCTTGTCGATACAGCGATATAATTCCTCGATTTCCACGTCCAGTATCTGTCCTAAGTTTGATCTCAAATGAGGTGTTAGATGACATCTATGAAACCCACTCACATCTGGTCATAGATTGGAACAGAGACGTCCTGGCCCCCGCTGCTCTTCAGACGTATGCTAAAGCAGTATCAAGGAAAGCTTTGGTTTTATAGATGGGATTGTTCGGCCAATTTCAAGACCTGGTAATGGGCAGAGAGTTGTGTATAATGGACACAAGAGAGTACATGGACTGAAATTTCAGTCTATTACCTTGCCCAATGGATTAATTAGCAATATCTTTGAACCAGTAGGTGAGTACTTCATTTGCATCGTTCTAGATCCTTTATGGTACAAGTCTTACACAAAAAAAGATAAGGATTATCACTCACGTTGCCAAAAGATAATCAATTTAAAGGTCGGTTTTAAGGCCTGTACCAATGATAAACAAAAAATATATATGCCCTATTTTAGAACCCAGAACTCACAAACTCTACTCTATCAGGCCCCACAAGTATGTCAGTACTTTCAGGTGAGAAATACCACATGGGACTCTCTGTTGATTAGTCCAAATTTGACTAGAGAAATGGACTGAAAGCCATTATTTCCTATGTATGGGGTTCTTGTGAGACAATAGTTGCTTTGATGAACTATTGCTTTTATTTTTTTAAAATAACCTTTCTTAAACCCTTTTCTTTGCATTGCAGAGGGCCGCAAACATGATGCTGGGATGCTTGCCGATTCTGGATTGTTAAATGACCTAGGGAGATTTGCCTTTTCACCAGCTGGAAAACCTATGTGTGTTTACGGTGATCCCGCATATCCCCTCCGCATTCACCTCCAGGCTCCATTTCGACAAGCCCATCTTACACCACTAATGGAAGCATATAATACAGCAATGAGCACAGTACGCACCTCTGCAGAGTGGATCTTTGGTGACATCATAACTTCTTTTAAGTTTTAAGATTACAAAAAGAATCTGAAGATAGGACTTAGCACTGTGGGCAAAATGTATGTTGTCTGTGCAGCGTTACGCAATGCCATAACTTGTTTATATGCCATCAGACATCTGAACGTTTTGAACTTGAGCCTCCAACACTAGAGGAATATTTGCAGTAAGTTTTGAGCGGTCTATGTGGAAATTAGTACTATTGTTAAGAGTAGCAAGGTTCAAGTTTAGCTAAGTTTATGTACTCTGAAACATGGGAATTCTCCACAGCAAAAACCGCGAAAAAAATATGAGAGTGCCTTTGTACCCTTGTCCTTTTTTATGTATTTGGTGGAAAAACTGACCTGAAGTTGGGGGAAAAAATTCATGCTCAGAAACTGATTGCTGCCCATTCTCCCTCAAAAATTTAATAGTCTATCCCTAAGGTGTGTCTGACAAGCCTCAGTAAACCAACGTAACACTGAGGGGCACTTACAACTGAGCATAATTTATTTCTCAAGGGGGTAAAAAGCAACAAACAACAACTTCAACAACAACTTCAACTGAAATGCTTTATCACTAACATTATTTTTCTATTACTTTCTGTAACACTGCAAGAAGCGCTCCGTTTATTTTCTGCTGCTCCTGCAGCAGTGATTGTATGACTTGCTGCTGGTTTTCCTGTTCTTTCTTTTTCATATCAAGCTCCTATCGTCGCACTTCGCCATCAGCATCAGCTTTCTCTCTTAGAAAATCGACGAGCAGCTGTGCACATCTCTGGCCTGACTTGCGCCGTTTTGGAGATGCATCCTTTTCTGATTTGCGTTTCTTCGTCTCCCTTAAGGTTTCCATGGCTTCCTTTCGGATACCTTCGGCCGTTTCTTTATCCTTATCCTGTTGTTTGGAGGCAAAATCCGCGTCAGCTGTCGCGGTATCTTCTCTCGAAACTAATTCTTCAATCGGCGCATCTCTTTCTGTCAAATCATCCACAGAGATTCCACTCTTCCACTCTTCCGTCCACTCCACTTGCCTGAAAGAAAAGTCAAAAGTGGAAACATATCAGAGAAAAGTTATTTCAAGTTTGAAAATTAATAGATGAAAAATTCAGAGCTTTATAAGCGCTTTTAATTTGGGGATCTTCCCTCAGTCTTCTCTCGTACGTTCCCGCCATTGACAAATCCGGCTTTCGACAACACACGAGTATAGCCTGCAAGAAAGTAAAAGAGTATTATTTTCCCCTCCTCATCTTTGAATAAATATCAATCTCACTTCATCCTGTTAAGAACAAAATTCTGGCTGAAATCCGAAACTAGAGGAGTAAAAGGCAGAAATACACTCACGTTTTCTGTACACTGCAAAAAGTAGCTTCTTGACGTCTGCGCGGGCCTCCCACGACCTCGCGTCAAAACTGACAACGTGTGCCGGACATGAAAATTACTTCCGGTCGCCGTCGCCGTCCCAAATCCTCTCGATGCTAAAGGTCCCTATTTTCCTCTCCGCAGCACGTACGTTCGATCTCAGTTGTGCGATCAATTCTACGTTACGAAAGGCACTGGTTTGTTGCGGCGGTGAAGGAGAGACTTATGTCATTTAAAGGATATGTGACACCCGAGCTATTTGGTCCGATTCTATGCGCTGTATAAAATTATCTTTAAATCAGAGAAAACGTTAAGTAACAGTTACCGAGGTCGAGATTTCTCTCGTGTCCTTAACTTTTTTTTGTCCAACATTTTCAATTTTGAGCAACGTCAAGCTGTAACTTGGAATTTGCTTTGGACGTGAAAAAAAAAAAAAAAAGAAAGAAAAACGAAAAGAAAAGAAACGAAAAAAGAAAAAAGATAAAAACATCTTAAAGAACTTTTAAGTACACCCTTTAAAGCTCGATTAGCGTTGCAGTGCGACTACTCGAACCAGGCCACCTGGAAGCAAACTAACTAATCAAAACGTAAACTGAGAACAATGGACTGATAGCTTCTCGCGAGGGCAAGTAATAGTCTGTTTGACGTGAAAACACGAACGCTTTCGACTCCTCTGTGTTATATACAATCTTAGAGATTCAGTCCTTATCATAATTATAAATCTCACTACAAACATTTGGCTTGAAAACTCCTTTTGCGACAACTAAACAGAAAGTTAAAAATTTTGTTAAAAAGCGACGACGTTTCGACGTTGAGCTAACGTCATTTTCAAGTCAAAATGATAGTTGATAAAAAATGTATAAATAGTCAGTAAAACAATAGTTCAATGGATGTGCTAAAATGTTTAAAATTAAACAAAGAGTTTCGCATGGATGGAGTCAGTTTGCGTGTTCAAGCTTGGATTCCGTTCCTTTATGCAAAGCATCTCTTAGACGAGGCAATCAAATTTCCCTTGGCA